TGTAAATGTCATTGGCAACATGATGAAAGATATTTCTATCAACGCTGGTCTCAAAGTGGATACAAACCATTGTCTTCGGGCAACTGCCGTCACTTTCCTGTCAAATGCAGGTATTGAAAACCGCGAAATTTTGCGAAATTACCGGCCACAAAACCGATGAATCGTTGAGGACGTATTCCATTGACTCGAGCTCGGCTCAAAACGACATTATTCGAACATTCTTCAGGGACAACAGCAGCTCGCTAACGAACGTAATTTGGTACCTGTCCAAGATACAAATATCCTGCCACTGTCCACTGCTCCCATGAATAACATCCAGGTTAATTCTTCTGCTAATTCCCATGGTCTCTTTCACATATGTAATTCCACTGTAACAGTTAACAACTTTTTCCATCCCAGCTAAGCTGCATGTCAGAAATCTCGCACATGTTTGACGTCTCTTGTCACCACCTCAGTTTCAGGCGAGTTGACACACATCTTGTACAGGGGCCAAACAGTATGTACGTCTTTTCTAATTTTGATTATTTGTATTTTATAGATACGCATAACTACAAATTACAAGTAAGATGAGGAACTGTGATAACGAATTGAATTTGTGATATTTCCTGTTGTTTGTTTATTTTTGTAGAAATGGGCTTGAACAAGTGACCACCCCTTTCGTAAAATGGACCATCATTATTGGAGTACCTCAAAACCATTGGTCGGTTTCGCGGCACCCCATATCATGCATCTTTTCGAAGGTGAGCACGAGGAGACGTATTACTAACGACAGTCTTGTTGTGTCATGCGCTCAGTAAATTAGTTCCTCCTAAATATCGATTTTAATTAACGTTCATGTTACAATGTCGATAAATATTTCGTTTTGTAAGATTTGCGTGATGTTATGCTGAATGGATGTACGGAAATTTTTCATTTGAACACTCCACCTTATGAATTATGAAAAATTTCCGTACATCCATTCAGCATAACATCACACGCAAATCTTACAAAACGAAATATTTATCTCCTAATTAATCCGTCTGACGAACCACCTTCAACAAGGTGGAACTTTACAAGGCCAACTGGTCTTTATTCCAAACGTTATGTACTGAAAAACTAAAACCTGAAAGTTTCAGGAATGTTCCTGATCCTATACAACTTTTTTCAGATATATTTAATGCTATTGGAGACGGAAGCATTCCTAAGTCCTCTGCAAACCCTCATATATGTAAACCGTGGTTTGATAATAATTGTAAACAAGCTAGGGAAAATAGTAAGAAAGCCGAGAAACATTTCCGACGATATCCAACTGTCCACAACTTGAATAACGTTCAAATCACGGACGCTAACGCGAGACGTACCTTTAAACAAAATAAACGTCAATCCTGGAGGAAATATGTATCCAAAATCAATTCCCCCACACCCACGCCAAGGTGTGGAACATGATTCAATATATTAAGGGCAAAGGCTCAAAATCTGGAGTTCACTATCTCAAAGATGGTAATACCCTTTTAACCATTAAATCTGAAATTGCCAAAACATCATTCCTCCTCATCAAAATATAATCCTCATTTCCAGAGGTTTCTAAAACAACAGGAAAAGAAAAGTTTCAACACTGATAATGGTGAGGACTATAACGAAACATTTTCACTCCATGAATTATATACTGCCCTAGGGCAATCTCATGACACTGCAGCAGGAGCCGACAACATCCACTATCAGCTCCTGAAACACTTTCCCCATTCATGTTTGGAAACGTTACCGAATATATTTGATGAAATATGGACCACCGGGAATTTTCCTCCTTCGTCGCACAATGCTATTATTATTCCTATTCCAAAGCCTGGGGGGGGGGGGGGGGGTCACAAGATCCATCCAACTACCTGTGTTTGTAAAACCATGGAGCGCATGGTCAACAATCGATTGGTCTGGTACCTGGAGACCAGTAACCTCTTGAGTGATATCCAGTGTGGTTTTCCTAAAAAACAGAAGTGCCATTGACCATTTGGTGCGTTTAGAATCCTTTTTGAAGAATTCCATTGTTAACAAACAACATACTGTATACATCTTCTTCGATCTAGGGAAGGCATGATACAACGTGGAAACATGTTATTTTTAAAGGTGTGCATGAATTTGGATTGAGGGGCAGATTACCTCAGTTCATGTCTAACTTTTTTAAACAACAGAATTTTTCAAGTGCGAAAGGATTCTACCCTGTCTGACCATTTCGAACAAGATCAGGGCGTCCCCTAGGCAGTATACTATTAGTCACACTTTTCAGCATCAAAAGATTTGAACAATAGCGTTGATGGTTCACTTTTTGTAGACGATTTCAACATTTCTTATGAATTCGTTTGAATTCATTTCATATGAATACAATAGAAAGATCTGTCTTAACAAAATAAAAAATTGGGCGAACGAAAACGGCTTCAAATTCTCAAAATCCAAAACAAACTGTATTCACTTTTGTCGTAAATACAAACCATATAAGGATCCAGATTTACTTTTAGATGGTACTCCTGTCAAGGTAGTAGAGGAGGCCACATTCCTGGGCCTCATATTTGACCGTCATCTGACATTCTTACCACACATCAAATATCTGAAGGCTTTCGACTTGTTAAAAGGCGTTTCAAATTCCGAGTGGGGAGGGGATCAGAAAACCCTCCTTCACTTGTACAGATCGTTAATACGCTCCATACTAGACTATGGTTCCATTGTCTATGGTGCAGCCTGCAAAAGCAATTTAGAAAAATTGGACGCTATACACCATCAGGACCTTAGGCTCTGTCTTGGAGCTTTTAGGGCCTCTCCCGTGGACAGTCTGTATGTGGCGGCTGATGAATCTTCACTCGAACAGCGCTGCATTAAACTATCACTGCAATATATGACTAAACTGGACTCAAATAAATCAAATCTAGCATACAATTACGTTTTCAACCCTCAGTATGAAAACCTTTTTCGAAATCTATCAAACCTGGTTCCACCACTGGGAATCATAATTCCTACACACATCACCGCAGCTAAAATAGATCTTAATATGATATCACCTTCCCGACTTCTTTCTTCTCCCTGACAGATGGTGAAGCCAGAGGTAAACCTCACTCTAACTAAACTAAAAGAATCCGAAACAAATCCTTTGGTTTATCAACAAGCGTACAACCAATTGCGAACTCAGTATAATTCTCACAGGTCCATTTCTACAGACGGGTCCAAGGTCAATCACAATCCAAAAACATCATCATCTTCTCTGATTCGTTGTCTTGCCTTCAGGCACTTAAAAGTGTCTCATCATATCACCCTTTTATTCTAGACATTCTTGAACTCTATAATGATCTTTCTCCTGGCCAATGTGACATCGTCTTTTGCCGGTTACCATGTCATTTAGGTATACGGGTAACTCAAAAGCCGATGCTGCAGCTAAAGCAGCTCTTGACAAACCGTTATCTCCACTGCTTATCCCGTACAGTGATTTCAAACCAACAATTAAGAGTTATACTCGGGATCTCATGCAAAAGAGGTGGGACACCCAGGTAGCAAGCAATAAACTTCACAAATCAAAACCAACAATAGGTCATAACTACTTGGGTTGTCAGTCAAGACATGACGAGGTCGTTTTACAACGATGGCGTATTGGCCACAGTCGGTTTACCCACGAATATCTGCTAAAGACAGACGAGGACGAACATCCTAAGTGTATCCCTTGTGATGAAAGGTTCACCGTCAAGCATATATTGCTTGACTGTGTGGACTTGCAATCGCAAGGGATTCACGTCATCAAAGCGTAAATCTGAAAGTGTGTTTTGGGCAGATATTTCTGATGAATATGGAAAGGGTTTTGACGCTTATATTTAGCTGTGATTTCTTATGATCATGAAACGGGTTTTGTCGCACTTATGTTTATAGAAAGGTTTTTGTCACTTTTATTGAAAAGGCTCGTGTGTCTTAATTGCTTTTGACAACCTGAATATTTTCTTTATTTTAAAAATCGTCACTAGTCTATTTTATTTGGCAACAAATGCGTGCCATGGGCATTCCAGGTCAGAATGCCTTATGACCAATGGAATCTATTTCGGCAGATTGTTCTCTGGTTTGTGAGACTGTCGGAAAAACATGTCTTTCAAAAGTGTTTAGTTATATCATGTTGTGTCCGCTTATTATCGGACAAGCCCTCGTGTGGTAGACGTGTTCCAGATTGTAGAAACCCACGTGCATGCCTACAAGCGAAGGATCATAAACGGAGTGAATATTCTTTATTGGAATTTGGAATTTGGAATTTTATGTAAAATGTTACATTTACAATCAGTATATTTGACTACCTTATGGTAAAAAATGCATTGTTATTAATTCGTTTAATGTTTTCGTTCAATTCGTGGCACGTGTCAGTATATTGAGTGAGTGAGTATGGTTTTACGCCGCTTTTAGCAATATTCCAACAATATCACGGCGGGTCAGCATATTGACGCGAGCAAAGTGTTTATAGTATAAATTGATTGTATAGGTGCCACTTGTCAGTTAATAATTTGGTCTACCACCCACAGTATGCTAGGGGCGGTCGGGTAGCCTAGTGGTTAAAGCGTTCGATCGTCACGCCGAACGCGAGGACCCGGGTTCGATTCCCGACATGGTTACAATGTGTGAATCCATTTCTGGTGTCCCCCGCCATGATATTGCTGGAATATTGCTACAAGCGGCTTAAAGCGATACTCACTCACTCCAGTATGTTTGACCTAAGGTAATTATGTTTATGTGCTTTATCCCCAAACCTTAGACTTGCGAACATGCCCCGATCGACGAGTATATGTACAACTTATTAGTGAGTGACTGAGTGGCTGCGAACATGCTATGCCACACGGAGGAAACACACTGATAACTTCGCCCCGTTCATGTATATCTGAGTTGGGAACACCGCACAGCGTAATTGTGTTTGTTGCGACAGAGCTGTTATCCTGCTCAGTGTTCAGAGGAGTTTATTACAGATAACATACATGTACAGGGTGACAACAAACAACAAACAGATATAATAAGGTTTTCTCACTCATTACAAGATTTAATTGCTTAATGCAAATTTTACGGTGAAGTGGTGAAGAATATTTAATATAGGTGTAACTTTATAAGATCATAAGACTTTCCTCCTCGATGATATTTTCTCTTACAAAAACACAAAAACACTTTTCATATGTAGCTAAACTTCTGCTGTAGAGATAAATTGTGTGATGGAGAAAGAACTTTTTGATTCCTCAATATTCAGGACGTATCCTAGATCCGGACTTTCATGCTGTTCACCTTCATCTGTCCACGAAGTGCCACGTATTGCGGCATTTCCTTGACTCTGTGCTTGAAGTCGAAGTAATGATCACCATTGACATATCCCTGAAGAACAAAAATACGGAATTGGAATACCGAAATTTAAAGTTCCGAACTTGGTAATTTGATTGTTTCAGAGTGAGTGAGTGAGTGAGTGAGTGAGTGAGTGAGTGGCGAATATGCTCAAGACCTGATAAAATCACTATTTCAAAGCGATTCATACTTCTACTACAGATGCATTTTGATCATGAACAGATTCTTTGTAGCTTTTATGTAAATATGCAAATTAAAGAAAGTCGGTGAATGACAAATACGAGTATTACCTGTGTCCCGTCAGGACCACACCCCAACATTTCAATTTTGCCCTAACAATGCTGAACCTATTTGTTTAATATTGTAAACAGAATCCAATTACGTTTTACCCCTCATAAAGCATATGAAGCATAACTTCCTACCGTATATCCAATTTTGTCAAGGACTGCAGTGAAGTTGAAGGGTTGTCCGACTTTGATGTCGAAAGGTGACAGATGTGCCCTTTCTTCACGTCCGTAATGGCCATTCTGACGAGAGTTTCTTACTATCGTTCTTGTCCTTGTTCGGATAGACGTATGTAACAGTATGTCCGCTTTATCATCTCCGTTTTTCTTGAAGTCAAAGATGGACCTGAAAACAGACAGACTCGATTGTTGCGCCACCGGCGGCTATTACGAGAAATGTCCCTTCTATTTCCCTCCTATTGACCAATCAGATTCAACCTCTCATATCACTTGCAATTGCTTCCAACAAAATGGCGGCGCAGAGTTAAGACGATCTGATCGATAATCAAGAGACATATTGTATTGTAACGGGCCTTTACTCCCGAAGTGTATAAGAATACTTGAGCACCTTCATTCAAATCATGAAAAGATTTGCAAAATATATGCGGAACACGTGCTTTGTAAATCCTTCAGTCTACCGAAATCTGCAGGTTGACATCCATGTTGGTCACGAACCGCATGTCTAGTTTTTATATTTTGATTGGACTATGCATAGACTCGTTATTCAAGCCAATATGTAACCTCGAAATTCCAGCCTAGTTCGGCAAGGGTGGTAACTGGACTTTTATTGTCAGTTAACGCCCTTGCCTCGGGAAGATGTAGAAGGGAGATACACTCGATAATCAGGTATTTGGCTTTGGAAAGCTAGTGAGTTGGGCTTTTAACGACGCTTTCAACAGTATTCCAGTTATAACACGGTGTGTCAACTTGATGTGGGACAAAAGTGATAAAGGTCTTGGACGTTTCCCACTTTGGTGAAACCCACGAGCACTGATAGGTTTCTGACATGCCCAAAGGAACTACTCTGCACAGAGAATTGCGGCGCCTTAGACGACTCGACCACAATAAAGATTGTTATGAGTGTTACCCAAATGTGAGAAAGAATATCGTCACTATACCACATGTGTCCTGTTCCCAAGGGCTCGGCAATAAACGTCACTGCTGACCCGGGGCCAAATGTACTGGGAAGTTCGTACGCGCCCTGAAAGACAGAAAAAAACATACTATATAAAGACGTATTCATAATACATATACATTTCACTCTACATGATAAAAGACAGTGTTTGAGTGTATTTGGTTCAGCACCGATTTGAACAGTATTTCAGTTAGATCACGGCGAGGAATGAGGGAGGAGAGAATGATCTGATGCTGGTGTAGCGGCCATAAAATGTCCGAGTCCCATGATGGGATTCGAACCACGGACCTTCTGATCACAGGTCGGACGCCTTGTCCATAAGACCAAAAAGGTTAACCCCCTCAGCAAGCTGACAAGGTAAGGATGTCATCTGTAGGATGACTCCACGCCCTGCTACACTGGTATAACACGTTCCTCACGTTTGGGAATCCCACGTGCACAGGCAAGGGTATGGTCCTGATAAACCCAGAAACATAATGGACACTGTAGACCACTCTGCCGCCTGTGCCCGCTACCTCTTCACAGCTCATCAGTCATTAGACGAGATGAAGCTTGACACATGAATTCGGGACAAATTGCTATGTGTGCATGATTTCATAATTAAGTTATTTTATTTATTCTTAAGGATTTCTATGATTTGGTTGGTTGGTTGGTTTGTTGTTTATATATATAACAGATAACATATCAGACGGCGGTCTGTACATAATCGAGACTGGACCAAACAATCCAGTGATTGATATCATGAGCATCACTCCATGCAATTTAAATCGATGACATGCTTCAACCAAGTCAGCGAGCCTGACCACCTAACCCGTTAGTCGCCTCTTACGACAAGCATAGTCGTCTCTTACAGCAGGCATAGGTTGCTGAAGACCTATCTACCCCATTTCACCATGACACTTTATGCAAGTGTAATAAAAAAGGAGACTCGATAGATTTCTGGCAAAGAAAATATGACAAAACACATCTCGATCGCCATGAAACATGGTATAAACAATGCGTATACATTGTATGTAATGGTTGGTTTGTTGTTTAACGCCGCACTCAGCGATAAAACAGCTTAATGACGACGATCTGTAAATAATCGAGTCTGGACCAGACAATACAGTGATTAATATCATGAGCATCGATCCACGCAATTGGCATCAACCAAGTCAGTGAGCCTGACCACCCGATCTCGTTAGTCGCCTTTTACATGCATAGTCGCCTTTTACGACAAGCATAGTCGCCTTTTACGGCGTGATGAAGCATTTAGTAACATATGTGATTGTAAGCGCATTTCGGATCGTTTGATGAAACGGATTTTAATCAATAACATGACCTTTACCATGACCTTCATCATCTCTATTCTAGTCATCCATGGCAGGAAGGTCAAGGATTAATAACGCTTACACATTAATGTATAGACATCAGACTATATTATTGAATGCAGGAGCTTTACTATACAAGTTTCGCTTACAAGTGGAGGATTTTCCCAATATGTCTGTGAACACTGAGATTTGGTGTCCCATTCTCCCGTCGCAAGACACGTGAATGCTAGCTTTACGCCATCGGTACACTGGAACTGCACCTGGGCACCAACAAGGCGTCCTGCCGACTTCAGTACTTTTCCTCCTTTTATGGACAACGGGTTTGGGCACACCTCCGCTACCATAATAACAAATTGTTTCAATTATTTTATGTTCCATACAAGTACAGTTCATAACGCCAGCCCTTTAATGATGAAAATAGTTCCAAGTACAAGTGCGATTCTCTGTATCAATATCTATATTTTATCTAACCTTAACAGTATTATAGCAATGTTCCTGTACGTTAATAGGATACCCTTATATGCAAAGCCGCGCCTTGTTTTGACTACACAAATAGTTCTATTTTGGAGACAGACTTCAATGAAGATGTGCAATATTTAATGTTGTGATTAATCTTTCATTTTCATTGGAATGATAGTCAACTTAGTATAAAATCTAATCATGATCGTAATTGGTTCAATCAATCATTTATTTTAATTTCTAAAAGGACATTTTTTTCCAAAAAGAAGCCTACGTCCCTTAAATATATTTTGAATCAACCAACCAACCAATCAGTCAGTCAATCGATCAATCAACAAAAAGTTTACATTTTACTGAAAGGTCATTCGCCCAAAGCATATGTTGCATTTTAATGCATATGGTGTTCACAGGAACTTAAATATATTAGATTCTGTTTTGTTTAACACATTTTGGAAAAAAAAAATTTCTATTTATTCTACTAGCTTTCTGTCATGAAACGTTTATGAGAATTTCTGTTATGAAACGTTTATGAGAATTTCATTCAAACTGGCCTTATGCGAGATTACGACTATATAAAATGAAAGTCAATAACATCTGTCATCTCACCTATCTTATCCATCACTTTCCTGACACTGGACAGCTGGCTGTCTACAGCTGACTTGGTGTCGTTTGCTGCAATGAGATCATGGAGAGAATGAGCGAATCAGTCAGCAGAGTTTGATACCCTTACAAGCGGAAACATTATTATGCTTTTTACCACAAAACGGAAGAACAAATGATACCAAGCTCTTAACAGGTTCATCAGTATGTCATTTCATTACTGATTATTCACAGGATCAAACTTTAGAGCTTTGAATTCTGACCTCCAATGTTTGTCGAAATTTTCAACGCACGCTTGTGCCTGAATAATCCAAAGAAATTGCTTAGTGTATTCGTATCATGGGGTCCATTTGTAAATTTAAATGATGTGGGAGCGATGCATCCACAACATGGTTTTGTGGAGATATGTCTTGTTCTACCGGAAACGAGTGTTTCCTTAAAAAAGATATACTGAATCCCTTTGAAAAGGCATTGTGGATTTTGACTTTTGATAAATAAACAAGTTTCTGAAAAGTTAATAAAAGTAGTAGAGAAAATTTAATTCCAAAATGTTACCATGTGCAACCATCTGTCCCAAAATTTATCAGTCTTCCATCTCCATTGTTACAAATAATAAAAGTAGTTATAATAATGTGCACATTAAAAATGCGTCAAAGTCATGCACAATAGCCAATCGAATACTACTTGCGAATGTGTATGTATTTGTTAACCAAACCAGACGTGTGCACTGATGATGCGTACCAAGTTTTTTCATTTCTGTCTCCAGGATAGTTATTTTCGACTCCGCCAGGCTCTGACTGTTCTTAATTTCGTCTTCCAATTCATTCAACTTGTCATCAGTTTTCTCTTGGAACTCTGTCATGACTTTGTCTGCCTTCTCTGCGGAAAGGCTTGGAGCGAAGTTCTCTGCTTTGAATGGATTCGCTTCATAGGAATGAAAGCTTTTGGAATCCACAACCAAGTTTGCCAAGACAACCAGGACAAATTCAATGCTCCACATGACCGACATTCTGCTAAATAAATACAACTTAGGTAGGTGTTAATGACAGCATTCACGAAATGTGACAGAAACATATTATACTTGACAGAAATGATCATTTCAATTTTGGTCAGTAAGTGGTCAGTAGGACTCGACAAGTAGAAAGTAATTAGTTACACTCTGCGCAAGATCCATTTAGCTACACAACCTCATATACGCAATGATATATATAAGGTTGGTTATCCAATACAACAGAACCACTTGCAACTTTTGCATAGTTTTTCTGAATTATTGTTAACTATTGTGTAGACATCAATCTATCATCTTTCAACCTTGTGTAAACATCACCTATCTACATGTACATGACCTTCCAACATTCACATTGTTGTACTTCACTAACTTGATAATGGTGTTAGCATCTACTTCGAAACGTAGCATTCATTGTAATAAAAAAGTTGAATATCCATAGAACCATCTCCCTTTTTCCTCATGCCAACTTATAAATTCGAATTGAAGAAGTTTGGGGGAAGGAAAGTAAAAAACTCAGCCTCCATCTGCTTAGAAAACAAAACTCAGCCTCAATATGGCCATCAATAACAGAGTATTTACTGAGCAAAGCCATAATCTTTGACAGGGACATGACCATTAAGCATCATGTACCCTCATTTGGTAATAAAGTACAATGTAAACATATACATGAATAAAAAAAGTTTACTGCAATAACCTATACTGACGAGCAAAAGAAATATTAACAATCAACACCGGAAGTTGCTTGTATGGTCAAAAGACATGAATTAACAACATCATTACAAGTTACACCATGAGAATCAAGTTGGTCTAAAATGTACCCTATTGAAGTTTGAGATGCATCAGATGTGAGGATGAAGGGTTTGTTTTGGTCCGGATATGCAATAATATGGGGTGTTGTAAGGGCCTGTTTTAGCCTTTCGATTGCCTAATGGCAATCGTTGGACCATTCGAAAGACGCATCATTTTTCAGAAGGTTGTGTAGAGGGAAGGCAATGGCAGACAAACCTTAGAAATTACCCATGTCATGGCCTGTGTGACTGAATGTATTTTTAAAGCATCAACATGGATGCCATATTTGCTGAAGATATGCCCAAAGTAAGTTACTTTTTTTGTCGTACATTTCATTTGCTTGGTTTCAGAGTCAGTCCGGCTTCTTTTATCTTTTGGAATACTGCCTTTAGGTGATTCATATGTTCTGAAAACGTTTTAGAAAAGATTATGATGCCATCTACATGTATTAAAATGTAAAGCCAATTCATTTCTTTTGGTGCCTGAAATTGTTCGCTAAAATTTATAAGTTAGAAACTACATTGAGGCGTCTATAATCTACGGCAAAGCGATAGGAGCTATCCCGGTTTTTAAGCATGACAACGGGAGAGTGCCATTCAGAAGAACTGGGCTGAATGATATTGGATTTTGACATTTTTTGCACCCGTCTGGAACATTCTTTCCTAATGGCTGCGTTTTGCTTATACAGAGGGAGTCAAATGGGTCTGGCGTTAGCTGTTTCTATTTTGTGATGATGTAAGTGAGTATGTGAAAATCCTGACCAAGCAAAAATCTCTGAGATTGGAGAAATGCATTTTACTTTATACTTGTACTTTCATTATTGAGGACAAAAGTTCCACGATGTTCATGAGTATTGCCATTGTGCAAAACCACTTCAATAGGTTTCTTTCTTTAAAACCTCATTTATCCAAAATACCTTGTTCTTTCAATATGTTTCTAAAATGCACAGAAATTCGATCCCTTTTTTATTCAAAGTTTATCCCCTCCAATCGAAAGCCCCCTCAGGGCAGGACACTTAATCCCCAGTGTTATCTATAAATGTCACTTAATACGTATACGTCTTTCATTGTATAAATTTAAAATTTTTTAAATTGTTCTGTCTAAAATTCACCTACGTCTGTACAGTTATTATGCTTTAGTGTGATATGAAAAATTCTTCATAGGTTGAATTTGAAAGGGGCCGTAAAAACAAATCTCATTTCTCTTTTCAACCCCCACAAATTTCTTTTGAGGTACAATGGAGCATGCTCTTTCTACATAGATTTTTAAGACCGTCATCGACTCTTGATCAAAAGTCCATTGATCTGGGTTACAACATTCAAGTCCTCAGTAAAGTTTCAAAACGTTTTACGGTAGACGGAGGACATATAGCCTAGCGGTAGGAGAAAGCTATGTAACGAGATATGCCTAGTTGTATGCACAGAACATGTGTTTAAAGAACTATCCCCGTTAGTAAGCAAAAAAAACGATTCGAAGTGGCGAAAGAATTGGAGAATTGGCAAACTGCAATATTTCTATGAAAATGAAGAGGAACCATATTCACGGTGTTCACGGAGACTACGATGTGTGTTTGAGTAACTTTATTTGTTCATGGATGTGCGAAGGTTCCCGTATTTGACATGCATCTTCAAAAATTCTCGAACTTTGAATTTTGTGTTTACTGCGAGTTGCACGTGGAATGCTTTACTAGCAATTCCCTATGTTTACCTAGAGATGAACAATTGACTTGCCTTTGCATGTGTGCACCAGTTTCGACAGGATACGCTCATCTTTTCGTAAGCACCTGGTATCATCACTTTTGGATGGTGATTCATAAACACATGCTTATGAACCATACAATCGATTCTGCTTTTGGCAGACATTTCTTATGAATATGGAAACGGTTTTGAAGTTTTTTATTAAGTATATAATTTTGCCTCATGTGAGTTATCGTAATCAAATTATATAAAGATTAACGCAAATGTCAATTTCCCCCATAAATGTAATATACTCTAGACAGATGCTTCCAAAGAAAACACAACTGTGCATGTAAGCATCAGCGGCCAGGGCAGAATCTGCAGGTTCAAGTGACCTTATTCCTTGGTCTCGTCCTTGGAATCGTTTTTCGATCCACAACCATCGGCGTTTGGCATGCCTAAGGACGCAACTTTCAACTGATGAAAGACATTCACTGGTATTTTATCATTAGCGTCTTACCTTGTTTATTCCCAAGACGAAAGGTGGCATATGTCAGCTACTTTTGAAAACGTTCTTTATATATTTTGAGTTAAAGAGAGATATCGTGACCAATCCAATATCGAAATTCTCAAAGCCAACTACAAACGATTTACTGAATACCTTAAGGTTTCAGATTCAATCTAGCATCAAGTTGCATGTACAATAGACTTTAAAAGGAAATAAAGCATACACTGGACAAATAGTTCGAAAGAAACTTTAAAGCAGTAAGAACAATGACGTCCAGTAACAACACACCTGTGAAACATCAGTTGCCGGGACAGAATCCGCAGATCATGTGAGTTTATTCCATGAAGTCCTTCTGTTTATTTACAAATTCAATGAAGGGAAGAGTCTGAAACATTTGGTAGGGTGCTGTTCAAATCTACATTTTAGTTTATCTGTTTAGCAAACAAGAAGAAATAATCATGTAGTCGAAAGCCTTCAAGACACAACAGACTTGAAATGAAGTCAGCAAAAACCTTCTGTAATCAGAAGAAATGTTTGCTAAAAGTCCATTTATGGTTCCAATTAGATCATGAGCATGTGTTTATGACAGTAGTGAATTAAGTGGTTCCTTCTGTGGTATGGATATTATTTTTCAGAAATGGTGTTAGATTGTAACATATTTACCAACATGATGCTCCTTTATGTTCAGGAAAGTATTCAGCGTGTACTTGTGCATCAAAATGTCATGGCGATAGATGAATGGATTGAGGGAGACTAAGGTTTGGGAATATTACAAGATTGTACAATAATAGCAGCACAACATTAAAAGATACACTGAAAGCACCTGTGTTTAATTACAACACCTTCGGATTGAGGAAAACACATGCTCAGAATGTGTTTTTTACAGTTGGGTCCTTAATGGACTTGTCGCACACCTTTGGCACCCGCAGATGTAACTGGGAATCGTGCCTTGAAAATTTAAAAAACAATCGGCATGAATACGAGACACATCTAAGAAAACACTATGAATGCTAACATAAAAGGAAAGTGAATGTTTGATACATAAAGACGTCCTTATAATGAATAATGAAGACTGATGTATAGAAGCGTCCAGCAGCTCCAGCCTTATGTGTCTACATTTCACAACTTTTTAGGTACAATCGTGCATGCTCTTTCTACCAAGATTTCAAAGAGCGCCATACGATTCTTGCTCAAAAAGTTGTTTGATCAAGCTCACAACATTCATGGCCTCAATAAAGCTTTCAAAATGTCTGGGGAGGACATTTCCAGCCTTGAGGCATCAGTGACTAAAATAGTGTCCGATAAAATTCTAAATTGTATTTGTACCATTATGGTCCCCTGTTTTTTTACTTGCATTTGCATGTGTTGCTGACGGGTACCACCAGTGGGGCAGGATTCGCTCACCTTTCGTCAAACACCTGGTATAATCATTATTTGATAGCGATTCTTAAACACATGTTCATGATATAGTCGGAATTGTACAATGGAGTCTGCTTTTGTCAGAGATTTCTTATTAATGTGGAACGTTTCGTTCGTTATTACTTATGTTTAACTCGTCACGAGTTCATTGTATTTGTGACAAATGTGTGCCCATATGGATTCAAGGTCGGAATGAGTTCTCAGTGACCTTTTCGCGAACACCTTGTGTCATCACTGATTTTCAGTGATGCATTCATATACTTTACATCTCGATTGTGCCTTATGACCTATGGAATCTGTTTCGGCAGATTGGTCTCTGGTGTATGAGACTGTCGGATAAAGCACGTCTTTGGAAAATATTTCATTTAAAGCATGTATTTTTGGAGACAAGCCCCCACGTGGTAGACGTGTACCACATTGGGGAAACCCATGTGCATGCTAATAAGCCAAGGGTCATAATAGGAGTGAATATGCGATTCGAACACATGACAGGATACACGCAGGTAGGAAATGAAACTCTGCACAATCAATTTCTACAAAAGACGAGATAGTCTTGTGAACATGCCCCGTTCGACGAGCATATGTACTGATTCTGACGTGTCACACACACACACACGCACACGCACACGCACACGCACACACACACACATTGCATTGCAAGTGCAGAGGCTATAGCACCACTTGCGTTCAGGTGTGAGTTGTGGGTACTGATTCTGACAACGTGTATTGTTACATACGCACACGCATGCACGCACACGCACGCACACACACACACACATTGCATTGCAAGTGCAGAGGCTAAAGCACCACTTGCGTTCAGGTGTGAGTTGTGGGTACTGATTCTGACAACGTGTTTTGTTACACACACACACACACACACACACACACACACACACACACACACACACACACATTGCATTGCAAGTGCAGAGGCTAAAGCACCACTTGCGTTCAGGTGTGAGTTGTGGGTACTTTTTTCCACCACCATCCTTGCACTTTTGATTGGTTTCAGTAGTAGTCCATTGTTGCAGTGTCATTCAACAAAACATCCAGTCAGAGTGATAAAGGCATGAAGAACATGGTCTGATCAGTCTTCAGAAGAGATCATCACCGATTACATTCATGTGCAGGCTGACAACAAACAACAAACAGACATAGGTTTTCTCACTCCATACCAGATTTAATTGTTCAATGTATATTTTATGGTGTAGTGATGAAGCAACAGGGCCAACGTTGATACACCAGGCACAACAGAAGATTACCATTACAATGCAGGCTGCTTTACCCAAAGAAAACATTAAGATATATATTTTATGGGTAATGTCATAAGAGTTTTACTCCTTGATGATATTTTCTCTCACAAACCACAAAAACACTTTTCATTGGGAGCTAAAATTCTTCTGTGGAGAAAAAGTGTGTGATGGAGAAAGAACTGTTTGATTCCGCAATACACAGGACGTATCCTAGATCCGGACTTTCATGCTGTTCACCTTCATCTGTCCACGAAGTGCCACGTATTGCGGCATTTCGTTGACTCTGTGCTTGAAGTCGAATGAATGATCGCCATTGACATATCCCTGAAGAACAAAAGAAACGGAATACCGAAATTTTAAGTTTCGCACATGTTCATTTGGTTATTTCATAATGATAGGTGGGTGGGTGAGTGAGTGAGTGAGTGAGTGTCAGAGGAGATGTTCAAGACATGGTATAATCACTATTTCATAGCGATCACTATTTCATAGCGATAACATCTTATCAACACTTTTTTATGATGTAGTCGGAATCGTACAGAGAACTCTTTCAGTACAGATGTCTCATGATTATGAAAAGGTTCTTCATAGCTTTTATTAACATATGCAATAAAAAAGAGTCAGTGAATTAGTGTGGTCTGTGAGGGCAAAACAGAAACAGGAATAACCTGTGTGCCGCCAGGACCACACCGCAACATGTCAATTTTGACAAAACAATGCAGAACCTATTTCCAATTACGTTTTACCCCTCCCCAAGCATATCAAGCATAACTTCCTACCGTATATCCTGTTTTGTCAAGGACTACAGTGAAGTTGAAGGGTTGTCCGACTTTGAAGTTGAAAGGAGAATTATATGCCCTTTCTTCCCCTAGATAACGGCCTTTTTGACGAGAGTTTCTTACTAGTGCGCTTTTCCTTATTCGAATAGACGTTAGAAACAGTATATCCGCTTCCTCATCTTTGTCTTTCTTGAAGTCAAAGACTGGCCTGAAGAAAAGGATATTTCTGTATATGGACACACACATAACTGAAAGTAAAGAGGGTGGGATTCTGTGGGATTTTCAGGTAGCCGTGATATAGATTGAATGTAACTGAATTTAACGTCAACAAATAAACTGGAAAAAAGCTTACGTTACGCAGGATTACAAGACTTATGTTTGAATGAAAAGGATCAACTGAGCAATGTATTACATACCAAGGTGTCCCACTCTACATAAAATATAAACGTCACTCTTATGGGGTGATCTTTTGAACGCTGGAAATATATATACTCCAACACAAGTTTACTATGATCACGGGCAAAATAATTTTGGTGTTACTCTTCGTCCACCATAAAATGTTTGCAATTTGTACAGATTATTATAACGTAATTCTAGTACAGCTTGTGAATACAACTAAAAATGAAACTACCGTAAAATTACATTACACTCATGAGTGACAGATTGAGTGAGAGGCAACATTTCCCAAGCACATGGTGCCGACTGGGTCCAGAGTATTCGTAGTGATAGAAGGGCATCTTCTCGAGGCAAGGGCCTTGCTTGACTATTGGAAGTCCATTTCCACCCTTGCCGAACTAAACTGGAATTTATAGACTCCAACGTTGCGCAACCGGTGACTATTACGAGTTATGTCCCTTTTATTTTCCTCCTATTGACCAATCAGATTCCACCTCTCATATCACTTGCAATTGCTTCCAACAAAATGGAAGTCAAGACGATCTGATCGATAATCAACATATATATTGTATTGAAACGGACCTTAACTCGCGGAGTGTATCAAATCACTTGACCACCTTCATTCAAACCATGAAAAGATTTGCAAAATATCTGTTGATGCCAGATGGCGGAACACTTCTTTGCGAATCCTTCAGTAGAGCGAAATCTGCATGTTGAAATCCATGTTGGTCAGGAACCGCATGTCTAGTTCGTTACGCGATTTTGATTGGACTATGCATAGACTCGTTAGTCCATGTAGCTAACTCCGGAATTCCAGCCTAGTTAGGCAAGGGTGGTAACTGGACTTTCATAGTCAGTTTAATGCACTTGCCTCGGAAATAGGTGAAGAAGGGAGATACACTCGATAATCGGGTATTTGTCATTGGAAAGAGCGAGTTTTAACACCCCTTTAAACAGTATTTCAGCAAGTCAGCTTGATGTGGGAGGAAAGTGATGAAGGTCTTAGACGTTTACCACATTGATGAAACTCACGAGCACTGGTATGGTGCTCCCAAAACTAGAAACATAGTCGGGCCGAACCGGGATTCGAACACACGATTATAGGATTTTGACATGCCCAAGGGACTTAATTCTGCTACGCTTTAGACGGCTCGACCACAATCAAGATTGTTATGTGTGTTAACCAAATGTGAGAAAAAATTTGAACTATACCACGGTTCTCCTGTTCCCAAAGGCTCGGCAATAAACGTCACTGCTGATCCGGGGCCAAATGTACTCGGAAGTTTGTACGTCCCCTGAAATACAGAAAAAAAACATACTATATATAAACTTATTCATAATACATATACATTTCACTCCACATGATAAAAGTCAATGTGTGAGTGTATTTGGTTTAGCACCCCTTTGAATAGTTTTTCAGACATATCACGGCGAGGAATGAGGGAGGAAAGAACGATGTGATGGTGGTTTGTGAATCCACCGTGCACGGGCACGGGTATGATAAACCCAGAAACATAATAGACACAGTAGACCACTCTGCCACCTTTGCCCGCTACCTCGTAATAGCTCATCAGTCATAACCCGAGGTATAGGTCGACACAGTAACTCGGATTAATGACAATGTATGCATGATTTCATAATTAAGTTATTTTATTAATTCTTAAGGATTTCTATGAAATGTGACGATGACAACTGTTATATTAAAGGGGACTCGAAAGATTTCTGGCAAAGATAATATGACAAAACATATATCGATGTCCATAAAACATGGTATTAACAACGTCCATTTCGGATCGTTTTATGAAAAGGATTTTAATCAATAACACTGATTTACTATTACCTTCATCATCTCTATTCTTGTCATCCATTGCAGGAAGGTCAAGGTTCATCAACACGTGTACATTAATATGTAGAACTCACATCATATTTTTAAATGCAGTGGGTATACTGTACGAGATCCACTTACAAGTGATGGATTTTCCGAATATAACAGTGGACACTGATGTTTGGCATCCCATTCTCCCGTTGCAAGACAAGTGAATGCTAGCTTTTTGTCATAGGTACACTGGAACTGCACCTGGGCACCAACATGGCGTCCTGTCGACTTCAGTACTTTTCCTCCTTTTATGGACGACGGGTTTGGGCATACCTCCGCTACCATAATAACAAATTGTTCCAATTATTTTATGTTCGCAACAAGTTCATTTGATGATGTCAGCCCTTTTTATGATCACATAAGGTACAGCTACAAACATGATTATCTATATCGATACCTATTGTTTCTAAACTAAACAGTATTAAAACAATGTTCCTGTATGTTAATAAGATATTCTGATACGAGGACGTATGCAAGAACGCGCATTGTGTTTGACTACACAAATAGTTATGTATCATAGACAATTTCGAATTGTGATTAATCTTTCATGTTTATTGGAATGAAAGTGAATCAAGGCTAAAGGCGGAAAATGACCACAACTGGTTCTATCAATCATTTATTTTCTTTGACTAAAAGGATATAAAATATTGTATACGCCCCTAAAACAAAATTTGAATCAATCAACCAACCAATACACCAATCGATCGACCAAATATTTGATTTTTACTGAAAGGTCATCATATTTCATTGGTGTTCACATGTACTAAAAAATACAAGGTTTTTTTTATATAAACTTTTTTTCATCTAAACAAGGCTTATGCGACAAGGACATTAAACATATATCAGTTCAGATAAGAGATTAAAAGTAAAGTTAAGAAAAGTACATTACATTTATAATACAGGCAGTCAGTCAGTCAGCTTGGTTTTCAGTCGCCTTTAGTAATATTTCAGCAATATCATGGCAAGGGACGCCAGAAATGGACTTCACCTAATAATCTCACACAAAATAAAGAAACCAGATCGTGCTAACGCTTTAATCACTAGGCTAACTAGGCGAAACTTTTCCGGTTCTGCTACTTGTAGCATTGAATTATGGGATTTCGTGTTGGCAATAGATAACACCCACAAAACATTCCTATAATCATTAAAAAAATATCTGCTAAATGTAGTGTCGAGATTACGACTATATCAAAAGCAAGTCAATTACATCTCTCATCCCACCTATCTTATCTATCACTTTCCTGACACTGGACAGCTGGCTGTCTACAGCTAACTTGGTGTCGTTTGCTGCAATGAGATCATGGAGAGAATGAGTCAGTCAGTCAGCAGAGTTTGATACCCTTACAAGCGGAAACATTATTATGCTTTTTAAGGAAGAACAAATGATACCAAGATCTTAAGAGGTTCAGTATGTCATTTCATTACTGATTATTCACAGGGTCAAAAAGCAGCTTTTGAGATTTTGAATTCTGACCTCAAGTGTTTGTGTTTTGAACTCTTGTGAGTCCCTCAATAATACCTAAAAAAATGTATTCGAGTCATGTGAGTTCAATTGTAATTTAAAAGTATGTGATGCATCCAATGCAGGGTATTGTGTAGATGTGTCTTGGGGTTTTATTTTAGAAAAAGTGTGCTTTGGGATAAAATGAAAAGGCATTGTGGATTTTGACAATTGACAATTATGACTGGAGCCTCACGTCCAGATATAACAACGTAAATGAGGATTCAAACCCGGACAACATTATTGCAATGTTGGATGCCTCCAGCCATTTGTGAATAAGTATACATATAATGTCCTAAAATCTCCATTGTTACAAATAATGAAAGTACTTGTAATAATGTGCATATAAAAAATCTGTCAAATTCTTGCACGAAAGATAATCAAATACGACTTGCAATTTATGTATGTATCTGTTAACCAAACCAGACATGTGTGCACTGACGATGCGTACCAAGATTTGTCATTTCTGTCTCCAGGGCAGTTATTTTCGCCTCCAACAGGCTCTGACTAGTCTGAATGTCGTCTTCCAGCTCTTTCAACTTGACATCAGTTTTCTCTTGTAATTCCGTAATGACTTTGTCCACTTTCTCTGCGGGAACGCTTGGAACGAAGCTCGTTGCATGGAATGCTTTCGCTGTATTGGTATGAAAGCTGTTGGAATCCACAACCAAGTTTGCCAAGACGACAAAGAGAAATTCCATACTCCACATGACCAACATTCTGCTAAATAAATACAACTTAGGGACGTGAGAATGACAATGTTCACAAAATATGACAGAAATATGGAATGAAACACTTGACAGCAATGAAACTTTCAATATAGTTCAGTAAGAGGTCAGTAAGAGCAGCAAGTAATTAGCACTAGAGCACTTTAGCTACGGAACCTTATAATATTAGCGCAATAATATATATAAGGCTGGTTATCCAGTCAAAAACAACAGAATCACTTTGCAACTTATGGGTTATTGTTATCTGTTGTGTAAACATCAATCTATTGTCATTTAAACTTGTATAAACATCAATTATCCACATGTACATGACCTTCCAACTTCACATTGTTGTACTTCACTTGCTTGATAACGGTGTTAGCATCTACTCCGAAACGTCGCGTTCATTGTAATGAAAAAGTTGAATATCCATAGAACCATCTCCCTCCCATTCCACTCAATATAATACTATCCCATATGACAAAATTAAGGCAAACTTCATTCCGTGATCCATTGGGCCATCTTACAAAACGTAGTAACCATAGATACAGTTACATGTCTATCTAAAGAGGTTCGGGACAATTTGTAAAAAATGAATGCAACTGATATCGCCTCAGTTGTTTCTTAATTAAATCTATGCACAAAGTAAGAACACACTCTCAGAAAGACTGTATGACAAGAGGGATGGCATCAACTTTCCAATAGTCAACTTTCCCTTTTTGTTTATCAATATTTCTGCACCTCCAGCCTTTCGTGTCTAGATTTCACAACGTTTGAGGTACAATCGAGCATGCTCTATCTACACAGATTTTAAAGACCGTCATTCGACCCTTGCTCAAAATTTGTTTGATCAAGGTTACAACATTCACGTCCTCAGTAAAGCTTTCAAAACGTTTTAAGGTAGACTGGGGACAAATTTGAGGTATTTTATCATAAGCATCTTACCTTTTGTATTCCCAAGTCGAAAGGTGGCATACAATGTATGTCAGCTATTTTTTATAACGTTCTTTATATAATTATGACTTAAAGAGAGATTATCGTGACCATACTAAACTCGAAATTCTCAAAGCCAACTACAAATGATTTACTGAATACCTTAAGGTTTCAGATTCAATCTAGCATCAAGTGACATGTACAATGGACTTTAAAAGGAAATATAGCAAACACTGGACAAATAGTTCGAAAGAAACTTCAAAGCAGTAAGAACAATGGCGTCTAGTAACAACACACTTGCGATGTAAACATCAGTCGCCGGGACAGAATCCGCAGCTTAGTACATGAAGTACCTGTGAAAAGTCCTTCTGTTTATTTACAAATTCAATGAAGGGATGAGTCTGAAACATTTGGTAGGGTGCTGTTCAAATCTACATTTTAGTTTATCTGTTTAATAAACAAGAAGAAATATTCAGATAGCCCAAAGCCTTCAAGACCCAAAAGACGTTAAATAAAGGCACCAAAAACACCTTTTCAGTTTCTGAAGTCAGAATAAATGTTTTCTTAAAGGCCATTCTATGGTTCCGATTACATCATGAGCATGTGTTAATGACGGCAATGAATTAGGTGGGTCCTTCGCTGGTATGGAATTATGATAGATTGTAACATTTTTACCAACATAAAGCTCCTTCATGTTCATGGAAAGGATTTAGCGTGTAAGCATTTTCGGCATGAGATAGTGTACATTTGCATGAAAATGTCATGGAGATTTAGATTGAGGGTGACTAAGGCTTGGGAATATTACGAGATTATACAAAAATAAACGTAACGGGTTCTTATAACAAGATTGTTTGTAACAATACCACTGCCGGTTTGTGCAAACAAATGCCAAAAGCAGCACAACATTTAAAATACATTGAAAGCACTTCTGTTTAAATTACAACACCTTCAGGGTAACACATGCTCAACACAAAATGTTTTTTGTACATTGAGCTGTTCAATACTCTTCTCGCACACCTTTGGCACCCGCAAATGTAACTATGAAAGGCAATCGTACCTTGAAACTTTAAAAAAACAATGGGCATGAATACGAGACACATCCAAGATAACACTATGCACGCTAACATAAAAGGTAAGTACATGTTTGATGTATAAAGGCGTCCTTATAATAAATAAAGAGAACAAATGTATCAAGGCGTCCAGCAGCTCCAGCCTTCGTGTCTACATTTCAAACTTTGGAGTTACAATCGAGCATGCTCTTTCTACCACGATTTCAAAGAATATTATACGATTCTTGCTCAGAAGATGTATGATCAAGGTTAAAACATTCAGGTCCTTAGTAAAGCTTTCAAAAGGTGTCATGGAAGACACGTGGAGGACATTTCCAAATTTGAGACATCAGTGCCAATAATGATGTCCGATACAAATCTCTATTTTCATTTGTACCATCATGTTCCCATGTTTGTTCAGGCGACCAATTGACACGTCTATTAAAAAAATAAAAGTGATTTCGGCTAATTGCAGAGGCTTATCAGATAAAAATAAGAGAAAGGAAGTATTGAATATTTGGAGAAAAAGAAAGGTATCTCTTGTTTGCCTACAAGACATTCACATTTCAAAAAGTGAGGGTACTCTTATGAGGAATGAATGGGGTCTACAAAGCATAATTGCACCATATAAGTCCAATGCTAGAGGATTTGCGATAATGTTTAATAATAATGTAGACATAACAATTCATAGCACTAAAATAGATGAAAATGACAATTATATAATAGCTGATATAACTCTAGAAGGAACAAGACTAACATTAACTAATCTCTATGGACCTAATAGTGATGACCCTGATTTTTATTAAGAATCTATTTGATAATATTGATACCTTCGAAACTGATTCATTAGTTATTGTTGGTGATTGGAACCTTACTCTTAATCCTGCAGTTGATTTAGAAAATTATAAAAATATAAATAACCCTTAAGCAAGACGGATAGTATTGGAAAAAATAAAATCGTTAAATATGATAGATATATGGAGAGAATTAAATAAAGACTTAAAGAAGTCTTTAAAGAACCCAAGACAACAAGCTAGGCTGGACTTCTTTTTAGTGTCCGAAGATATAAGAAATATGACATTGGAAACAAATATTTTACCCGGATATAAAAGTGACCACTCAGTCATAACGTTGTCTTTCTCCAATACAATTAATCAAGAAAGAGGACGCGGATATTGGAAATTAAATACTTCACTTCTATTAAATAAAGATTATACAGATTTAGTTAAAACATATATAGATGAAACTAAAAAAGAATATTCTGAGAATAGTGATAGTGAACAAAGTGAGTTAGACATCAAACTTAAAATAGATGATAGTTTATTTCTTTAAACCCTCTTAATAAAATTTAGAGGGAAAACAATTTCATTTTCTTCATTCATTAAGAGAACCAAAATCAATCAAACAAAAGAATTAGAAAGTAAGATAAGCGATTTAGAAGATGACATAAGGCGAAATTTTCAACAAATAGACGAAAGACACCTATCCGAATTATCAAAATGCAAATTAGAAATGGAACATATAAAAGAAGAGGAAATAAGAGGAATACAAATTAGAAATAGAATGCAATGGTATGAGGGAGGAGAAAAACCAACAAGTTATTTCTGCCACTTAGAAAATAGAAATTATGTCAGATGACTGAAGATGATACGGTAATAACAGACGGCAATTGTATATTGGATGAATTAAGAAACTTTTATAAAAAATTATGTACTTCTGATAGCAAGGACAGAAGCTACGAAAACAAATTTAGAGACTCAAACATTAGACAACCAAATGAAAAACTTATTGGAAAGAGAAATTGAGCTTAAAGAAATTTCATTGGCAGTTAAAAACATGAAAAACAATAAAAGTCCCGGTATTGATGGCTTTTTCTGGAAAGAACTTAAATTCTGGAAATACAGATTTGTAAAAAGTACTTCTGCTAATAACAAAATGAGTATGACAATGAAAAGAGGAGTTATAACTTGTATACCAAAATCAAACAAAGACAGAACACTAATTAAAAACTGGAGACCAATAACTTTATTGAATGTACGCTATAAAATAATAAGTACTTGTATTGCAAACCGTATAAAATCAACATTGGAATTGCTCATTCATAATAATCAAACAGGATTTATTCCAGGAAGATCTATTTCAGAAAACACAAGGTTGTTATATGATATTATCTTTGAATCAAAAAGACAAAATAAACCAGGATTACTTCTGCTGATCGATTTTGAAAAGGCATTTGATACAGTATCAAAACAAGTTATAAATAAAGTTTTACAAAAATATGGATTTGGACCAGAAATGATAAGGTGGATAAATTTACTGACTTACGATACCACATCAAGCATAATACAAAATGGGCATATTTCAGAATTTTTTACAAATGAAAGAGGCTGCCGACAAGGAGACCCTATGTCGCCATATACTTTTCTCCTAGTAGCTGAAATCCTAGGATGTATGATTAGAAATAATAATAAAATTGAAGGGATTACAGTCAATGACAAAGAATACAAACCTGGGCAATATGCTGATGATACTGAATTATTTCTAAATGGCAAAGATGAAAGCTTATATGCAGCTATAGAAACACTAAATAAATTCTACAAAATATCTGGCTTAAAAATTAATGTAGACAAGACAAAAGCAATATGGATAGGCTCAAAAGCGGGTAGCAATGATCGTATATGTAAAGACTTACAAATAGAATGGCACAATAAGGAATTTGAAGTATTAGGAATTACGTTTAATCCAAACTTAAGTGAACTCTCGGTAATCAATACAAAAAGAAAGCTAGAAGAAATAAATAGATTGCTCGCAAATTGGAGAAAAAGAAATCTGACGATAAGTGGAAATATTACAGTCATAAAAACTTTAGCATTGTCAAAATTAGTTCATATATTTTCGACACTACCTAACCCTCCCGAGGACATTGTCTTGTCACTTGACAAAATATTTTACAATTTTATCTGGAATAATAAAAAAGACAAAATCAAAAGGAGCACTTTGACAAGAAAATATGAGGAAGGTGGATTACGCATGATTAACATGAGAGCCTTTATTGACGCACTAAAACTCTCTTCACTCAGATTATATTGTAAAAAACAACATATAGAAACCCTTGTAATATCCCAATTAAAGATATACTATCTTTGGGTGCTAATGTTGACAAGCAATCTTTTGTTAAAAACTCATACTGGAAAGATGTATTGAAAGCTTGGGACAACTTTTGTAAAAAGAATATTATTAACGTTGATAATATAGAAGATATTTTGTCCCAAGCATTATGGCTCAACCACAACTTCAAACAAGCAACATACTACATAAAGCAATGGGCTAATAGTGGAATTTACTCAATTAAAGATATATGCAATGAAAACGGACTGATGTCATTTGAAGAACTGAAACTAAATATTAGACTTTAGATATGTAATCTTCAATATACCAGAATCATGGAAAATAACAATCAAGAAAACTAGAAAAATTATTTTGCAGAATTTGTATATAAACAGTTGCTTAAGTGATTTGACGAAGCCTGTAAAAGGCGCTAGAATCTTTTATGATAAATTAATATCAAATGAAAATAATCTTAAAGTTTGTAATAAATGGCTATCAATTTTTCACTGTGATTTTAATTGGAAAACGATATTTACTGTTTATAGATATAAACTGAAGGATGTAAAACTTTTAGATTTTCAATACAGATTTCTACATGGAATTATCTACACAAAGAAGGAACTATTAACAATGAATCTTGTAGACAACAGTGTTTGTAGCTTTTGTAATGCTGTCAATGAGGACGTCAGCCATGTCTTTTGGGAATGTAATGAAACTAAACAACTTTGGAATGATCTCGAACTTTGGCTTAACAATTATCTTCCACAACAAAATTAAATTGACAAAATATCTTATTTGCTTTGGTTCTAACTACTCTAATACTTTAATCAATCATATAGTTTTATTGGGAAAAAGGCATATTCGTGTAAGTGGAATTAAAGGAACCAAACCGAAATTAGATATACTTTTAAAATTGTTTAAAAACATATATATT